TTTTTTTTTTTTTTTTTTTTTTGAAATTTTCAGAGTAGCCTTTCCCCTTCTTTGGGCCGCTGCGTAACCGTAGCGTTCCCGTAGCAACGCCGCGCCGCCTCCGGGCAAACACACGAGGGTCGCCTCCGGGGGGTGGAGGGCGTGTACGGGGGCCTCGGGGTCGAGGGGGGGTCGTTGCGGCGCCCGAGTCCTTAGTGCGCTCGTGGCCGTGGCTGCGACCGGGCGGGGCGGTGTCGTCGTCACCCATCGTCTTGGTTGTTACTGTTAGCCGGTGCCGGAGGCCTGTCAGCTGGCCCGGTTAGCTATACTGCCGGCCGCGAGCTCTGCCACCCGGCAGCTGGCCCTGGCAGCTACTGCCGGCCGCCAGCTCTGCCACCCTGCCGCTGGCCCTCCTGGTAGCTACTGCGGGCCGCCAGCTCTGCCACCCACCCTGCCGCTGGCTCTGGTAGCTGCTGCCGGCTGCTAGCTCTGCCACACTACCTCTGGCCCTGGTTGCTGCTGCCGGCTGCTAGCTCTGCCACTCTGCCGCTGGCTTTGGAGGCTACTGCCGCCCGCTAGCTCTGCCACCCTACCGCTGGCCGAGTCTCGGGCGCCAGGGGCGGGTTAGGCCGCATGCCGCGCGCGGGCGCGCCACGGCGCTGCCTACCCGAGGCCGCGCGGGCGCCTCGCCGCCGCCGATGAGCCCGCCGACGGGGACGTGCCGCGCGCCCGGGCAGCAGGCCATGCCGCCATGGCGCAGGACCGCACCCTGCCCATGCTGCTGCTCAACCTGGGCGGCGAGATGGTGTACATCCTGGAGCAGAGGCTGCAGGCGCAGCGGGTGGCCGAGGACAAGGCCGTCAAAGGTGAGTGCGGCTCCCGCCGACGCGATCCCCGGCGCACAGATCAATAGAAACACCATCAGTCCTGGCCTGTCTCGCGGTACCGCTACCGCGTACCACAGCCCCGGCCGCGCACGGTGCCGCGTGCTATCGATTCTGCGCCTCATCACTATCGTAGTGCGATTCATCGACAGCCGAACAACCGCGCGGCCGCACCTTGCGGTGGCAACGTGGTCCCCTTTAAATATTAACGTCACCGAGTTGTTGTGTGGTGTGTCGTGGCCGGTTGCACAGGACAAGCGGAACACGCCAGACAGGTGGGCGCGGGGAGGGGGGGGGAGGAGCTGTGAGAGCGTCGGCTGAGGGTGGGTCAGGCCGGAGGCCGGAGCCGCGACGCGTGTCTATGATTAGCGGGTGGGTGGGGTAGATTCGGTCGGGCCGTAGCACTATAAACCCTCTGACCTTGTGTGACCTTGTGCTCAGTGCTCGAGGACATCTGCCGCCTGCTGCTGCACGAGCGCTTCATGGCCGAGCTGCTCGTGCCGCAGCCGCTCGGCCACGTGGCCGCCCTCAAGACCTTCTTCCGCGACCTCGCGCACTCGTCCATCATGCGCCTGGACGACGAGTCGATGGCCAAGATGTGGGACCTGATGACCATGGCCGTCAAGCTGCAGGCGCTGCGCGCCGACTCGCCGGGCGAGCTGCTGCAGGCGACGCTCAACCACATCGAGTACGTCGGCGAGCACGTGCCCGCGGTGCGCGCGCAGGCCGAGGGCGCGGCCAAGGGGCTGCAGGAGGTGAGCACAGCCTCAACACACTCGCCAGAGAACTTTGCGCCATGGGCTATAAATTTTAATTAGCCACAAAAGTACAGGGTGGTCCTGTGGTCCATGGACCCCTTTATTTTGCTGATACTGTGCATCATGCAGTCGTGCGGGCGGATTGCGTACTCACACGGGGCCACAAGGCGCCGTGGTGAGCGACGGTAGGCAGGCCCGCACGCACGCCTGCATGCGGTACAGTATAAGCAAAATAGAAGAAAGGGTCTATGGACTACCCTGCATTTTTTAGATTTTTTTCTTTACTTTTTCCTTGAACGTTTTAAATTTTAAGCATTATTCCGGGGATATTTCCATCATTTCCATTTTTTTCTGGAAAAGTTTCCTCTTTTTTTCTGGAAAAGTTTCATGTTTCTTCTGGAAAAAAGCTTTAGACTTATAGGCCGTCGTGTACCTTCTGCTGTCCTGCAGTTCTACGGCCGGATGTCCTCGGGCGAGCTGCAGGCGGTGCGGTACTGCATCCTCAACTACCTGCAGGGGCTGGCCGTCCGCGTGTCGCTGTTCCTCAAGCACGGCATGCAGGACATGCACGGCCGCCTGCTCGCGCCGAGGGACGGCCCCGTCCCGCCAGGTCCGTGTGGGGTGTGGGTGTGCGTGCGCGGGAGGAAAACGATTAGCTGTGAAGCTAAAATGATGGGTAGCTAATTATCAAGTTAGCTAAAGAATTTGGCTACGTAGAATTTTTTTTTTATCAATGTAGCTAAAAATTTAGCTATGAAGCTAAGAATTTAGGAATGTATCTAAAAACTTAGCAATGTTCCTAAAAATTTAGCAAGGTAGCTAAAAATTTCGCTCTGTTTAGCTAAATTTTTGACTACATAGCTGGTAAATTTCCATTGGTTTAGCTAATCGTGCCTTGTCTACCCCATAGGATGCGAGCCGCCGGGCACGCTGCGCGTCATGGACGGCGGGGGCCGCGAGGTGGACTCGGTGGTGCAGGTGTTCCACTTCCCGCCCGGCGGCCAGTTCACCACGCCCGCCCGGGACTCGGGCCCTGGCGCCAACACCGAGCTGGGCTACAACATGTACTCGGAGCTCGAGAACCCCGGCGGGGCCGCGGCCGCCGCGGCGGCGGCGAGGCGCCACCGCCGGCGGTCCTCCGTCCCCGCCGCGTCCGTCGGCGGGAAGCTCGTGGACGCCCAGGGCCGGCCGCTGTACGTCGGCCGCGAGGAGCTCAACATGCTCATGGCGCAGCTGCTGGGGAATAGACCTTCGCCTCGAGACAAGGACGTGCCGATCAGGCTCATCTGCGTCTCCCTCTTCGACTCGGGGTGAGCTCTCTTTCTGTCTCCGCCGGTCTCCGCCGACCTCCTCTGTCCCCGTCTAAGCCCCGTGCTTCCCCACAGGGACGCGGAGCCCCTGAGCGAGGATGTCGCGGGACCCTCCCAGCGGCCGCCGCCGTCGTCGTTCCCCGGGACCTCGGCGGGAGCGTCGGGCAGCGCCGCCGGCCCCAGCTCCATGATGAACATCGACGCGTCCGGGTCGGCGGGCAGCCGGTCGGCGCGCCTGCAGCAGGTGCTCGCCGACCTGGACGTCCACGACGCCGACCCCCCGGCGGAGAGCGCACCGGAGCCCGGCGGGGCCGACGGCGGCTTCCTGGACCTCTGGGACGACCTGGAGCACGACGACGACGACGGCGGCGACGAGGCGCTCCTCCGGCCGCTGCTCTGAGCTGATCCGGCCCTGATCCGAGCTAATCCGGGCGCGGCCTCGCTGATCAGGCGCGGAAGCGGCGCGCTCGGCTCGTGCCGTGTCGCGACGGAATGCGAGTGGCCTGAGTGAGCTGAGCTCGTTTTGGGTACGAACAAATGTGACACGCTGCTGTGTTTTTTTTTTCTCTCCCCCGTTTCGTTTAATGTCACGAGTCCACGTCCACGCCCGTCTCCACGCGCGCGCTGGCTTCGGGCTCCCCTTTGTCCTCCTTGCCGGCCTTGTCGTCGTCGATCACGTGGTAGCGCACCGGGTACGTCAGCTGGTTGCCTTTGTCGTAAGAGTACAGCTCCTGGCCGAGGACAAGAACAGGTCGATCGTTTAGAGTGTAACGGATGCACGATGTGAGTGCGAATCTATCCACCACCACACCCACCTTGTGCCGGTGGCTGTACCCCAGCATGGTGGTATTGAAGAACGGGTTGGTGAACGGCAGGTCCACGTCCTTGAGCACCCTGTTGTTGTACAGGTCGAGGGCGAACCTGGCGATCGAAAAGGCATGTCTGCGTCAAGCTCCGTGTACCCCAGCGGCGGGCGCCCGCGAATGGGTGGGTAGGCAACCCAAACAGCACACGCGCCTGCGGGTGGCGTGCCCGAGGTATGGGCGTGCCGTGGCCGCCGACCTGACCTGATGTTGGTGTTCTCCTCCACGCTGTCCACCACGTACAGGACGCCGCACACGATGAACATCTCGCCGACGAGGTGGTTGTTGATGCTGATGTTCCACGCGTACTGCGCGTGCAGTTCCGCTTCGAAAGGCTCCACCTATGGCGCACGAGTTTGTGAGTTATACGGTGTTGCAAGGGGTACTTCACTTCACTAGTAGTGAGGTACCTCTCGGGTTTAGTGACCCTGACCGGCAGACGCGTTACCTTCATGACCACCGTGTTGTTCGAGTCCTTGAGGTTGTAGATGACCCAGAGGCCGTTGTCGTCCACGTTGAAGTCCATGACGTTGAGCCTGTTCTTGTAGAGGCGGCCGCCCAGGTAGGGCACCTCCATGTCCTTCCAGTCGTTCTTCTGCAGGTCGAGGCGCACCATGCGGCCGGTCGTGGACGCGTAGAAGAACTTGTTGTTGTAGACGACGTGCGAGTTGCCCTGAACGATCAAAAGGAATTTTTAGAAAAAAACACTAAACCTGCGATGTTGTGGGACGATGTATAAGTTTTTAGGGACAGGACTGATACCTGGAAGGGCTGCGGAAGCTTGATCTCTCTGGTGGGGTGCGGGCCGCGGAAGGCCGTCTTGTTGACGTACTCGTACAGCACCGAGTCGGCCGTCGGCTTGGTGGACCAGAACTGCTCGGCGGCGGCCTCGGTGACGGGCAGGGCGTCCCGCATCCACGAGCTGAGCACCGCCGACGTGGAGCCCATGTACACCGCCTTGCCCACGGCGTACAGCTTGCAGTCTAGGACAAGCCGCGCGTGCAAGGGGAGACAAGTCGCTCATATTTTGAACGATAGTAAGAACTATGCATGGAAAATTTCGGAAATCCGAAACTTGAGGTGCCGGGTCGAGCCGGGGGTATACTCACTGAGCGACCGGTTGCGGGGGTAGCCGACCCAGCTAGCCTTGTTGGGCAGCTCCAGGCCCTCGGAGTGCAGGTTGCGGCTCCAGTCGTAGCCCGAGCTGTGACAGCGCAGCTCCGTGACGCCGCCCGCCGTGTGGTTGGCGGGGCACTCGGGGCACTGCGGCTGCGGGGGGCAGAGGTCCTCCTCGGACTGCAGCCGCGGCGAGTGGGTGCCGAACGAGGCTCCCGACGTGCGCCCGCCCTGCGCAACCGTACATCGCCGTCGTTCACTCGACTTTTTAGACAGTCCCCAAGACTGTCTCTACCAGGGGGAAATGTTTCCACTCCCCAACCATCAAAGCCAATCGATCTTTCAAAGAAATTAAATATATTCATGAATTAAGGTTGCTTCTTATTTGTATTATGTTGAATATAGTGTTTTATGTAATATTTATCATCGGAATGTCCAGATTTTTAGATTTACCATCGATGTGTTGTAATATAATTGAACCAAACATACTGTGACTGAAGATTTATCGTTAAAGAGACAAGTAGTGATCGTTGAAATAAATGCATTTCCACAAGAAAATGAAAAAAAAATAAATCCGTGGCAATAATTTTACCCGTTAGCTCTACAATATTGATATCCATGGACAGTAGCCAGGAAAGAGACTGATTTTTTTTAAAAAACAAAAATGTAATTGTTGATACCAGAGCTTTGTAATGCGCGTTTGCCTGACTCACCTGCAGCGGTGGTGGCGTGGCGAGCCGCGGGTCGCGCTCATTGACGTGGAAGTCGCCCACCACCAGCCCCATGCTGTTCTTGGCGAAGCACTTGTACTGGCCGAAGTCCGCGGGGGCCATCCTGGTCACGTTCAGCCGCATGCGCACCTGGTCGAGGAGGATTCGCGCGTTAAGAGCACTTAGGGATTTGTTTATCATCAGAAAAGTTAAAACTTTTTTTTAAAAAAGAAAATTTT